ATTATTCTGGAAGTAGTATGAGGATAAATCTTAATTTGAAGTGAAGGTTTAAGATCAGAAACTCAATATTGCAGTTCTCATGTTAGAAAAAGATGTTTAAGTTTATTTCACTGGTAGGTTACTTCTTTCTATCTAAGCACTTCAATTTCAAATTGGAATTTATGACTTAATATCAAATGAATAACTGAATAACAATTCTATACCATAATAGCTATATTATCGCAATAAAGAACTATCATCTGTTAGAAGTTCATATGTAAAGTCCATAACTGAGTACAATAAAATCGAATTTAATATTCAATCTATTTTTACAAAAATCAGATTACTAAAAACCAAATTCAAATTGTGGATATCTTAAAATTATTGAGGATATTTTAAACACAAAATTTCAAATGATTCCATTCTCGACAAAATACACTAATTATTCCATTTCGAGATTCCGAGTGTACTTAAAAATGTAAAATATAAGTGAGGCGCAAATTACTTAAATGATGTAAATTGCTTATTTTGGACAAAATTTACTCATTTAAATGATTCCATTTTCGACAAAATACTTGCACTAATGCATTCCTTAAATGCCATGAAAATGGAACAAATTATTTTAGATGAATTTCAAATATAGCAAAAGTACACATGCATTTTGCAAGTATGATGTGTGTATTTTAAATGAAGAAACTTTTTAAGGAAAATAGTTGATTAAAAAAATACTACATAGCATGTTTGGATGAGGAGTTTAAGTGTTCAACAAACACCAAAAAAATTGTGTAGTGCTCCCACTAACCTCTCAGAGAGAACCCAATATTCTTACAGTTTTAAATGATGTGATTGTAACAATACAAATCTGACTTAATTATCCTTAGAACCCCTGAGACAATTTAATTATATACAAATCTTCTCTCTCAAAAAAGGTACCTTATTAAAAAAAAGGTTAAAATCTCATGATCTGATTTTTTCCGTTCAAAACTAAAGTAAAATCAAGATTTTTTTTCTGAAAGAATAAAATCAATACTTACGCAGCAAATAGTTGTGTTCAATTTTTTTATTTACAAAACAGATTAACGAAGGACTGCATGATCTAAAAAAGTAAAATTAAATTAATATTGATATTGTGGTGCTTACAAAGGAGTGCATCATGCAGCGTTAGGTATAAACGATTTAATGATTTTCACATATGAGATCTTCTTAAAAAAATGTAAAAATCCCAAAATTGGTCAACACAATTAGCATTGAAAAGAAAGATAATACAAATTGACGACACCTTAGCTTGAGAAAGGAGAGGAGGATGTGGAGGACAATGAACCCGTTTCATCTGCGAAATCCTCAGTTATTCAAAAAATATTAGAAAAAAAAATCAAGAAAATATGAAAAACTCACAATAGTTAACGCGTGTGCTAAAATATCTTTGTAGAGGATTGTTTCTATGCAGGTATTGATGATTGTGGTGTGAAGGATATGAAGATACACAACGGGAAATGAAGCGAAAATATGACTTTGTTAACCTAAAGCCATGAGGGATCATACGTGCCTTTCAGATTGGGTTGGGTGGTAGTCAACAGAAATTAAAGATGCGATGGGATGAGTCTATGAACTATGAATTTGGTCTCGGCTTTTTTATTAATATTATACACATAATTTATTAATATGATTCCATATGATTCCATATTATACACATAATTTATTAATATGATTCCATAATTTATTAATAAAATTTATATTTACTCATCTTTACATATCAACAACTGATAGTTTCTCAAGAAGGATCTTCATGCTCGATCAGTGAACTGATTTTCTCATTTTTTGTCAACGTCACTGTTTCTAAACGGTAAATATTAAAAATATGTAAAATACATCACGGGTATTAATAATATTTTTAATTTCAGTGAAGTAATCGGATATTTACAAAATTTATTAAATAATATGAATTCATTATATATTCCTTACCGAAAATTAAGGACATGAAACATGCATCACATAACTGAACAGATCTGGTGATGTATCACACTAATCTTGAGACCGTGTTTGAACTTCTCAGTGCGTGTGACGAAGGTGTTGCAGACAATCGTCGTTTTTGGATAATGATCTGTAATTGACGGTGCTAAGTTATGATGTGGGGATGGTATGCCTTCATTCGGTCGGTAGCATACCAGGCTGTGAGCTAGGGAGTGGGGTTTAGATTTGGATATGGAGAGAACACTTTCCGGCAGCGAGCACAAAAGCTGGGGATGTGAAGCAGAGCCGACACTGGTGATTCAGTATGGGGATTGAAAATACATGCGGTGAATATGAATCGTCTGGACTGGCTATTCGAACCCTAGGAGCTTCGTTTGTATAGTGACGGGAAATCAGCTTGGGCGTTACACATTGGGCTTTGATATAGGGCTGTGATATTTTTTCAATTGGGCTTTACACATTTAGTTGTTGGGTGAATCCCCAAAAAGAGTTTTGAAATTCCAAAATAGGACTATCATGTTTTTTATTCTTTAAATAAGAGTAAATTTTTGTCAAGTTTGACATTACTAGGCTTTAAAACATGACATTTTTTCCAAACTTGGCAAATTACTCCTATTTAGGAAATAAAAAACATGATAACCATCCTACTTTGAAATTTCAAAACATTTTTACTTCGTAGAGCAATTTCTATTAGTTGTTTATACATAGTACGGAGTCTAAAATATACGAGTAATACAGAGTAGGAGGATTGGGTCTGTAGAATTTGTCTTTTTACAATTAGCCTTCGGCCAAATTGTTGGTGTTTAGAAATTAGAACTACTCTTAGTTGATACTCCGTAATAAATTTATCGTAGTATATGAACCCGTTTATTATAACTGAAATTGATTGAATCGGGTCATTCTGTTGAAATTTATGAAGTTCTAGATGAAGTGGCTGAATTTACCGATTTTGTTTATTTATGAAAAATTATATTTAAAATGTTTTTTACTAATAAAATAAAGAAAAATTATATGAAAAAATGACTTAAATAATCATCTACATTAACTACAACCAATACGGTCAGAAAAATAACTTCAACCTTACTTTTTCTTATAATTTACACCATTTAGCACGCGGAATCAAAAATTGCGTGTTTGATGAAAAAGTTAACTACTAACCTTGATAAGCCGAAAAACAAGGCCGGTCACCAAACGGGCTCTACAAGCAGTTCTAAAGAGTTTTCACGGACCTTTTATGAAATAATATTATGAAATTTATAAATATATTAAAAGGGACAAAGCTCTTTGGGACATAGGTAGTACAATTTAGTCGGCAAAATCGGTAAATAGCATACTCTGACATGGTGTGTATTTGTATACCTTTTTAGACAGTTTAAATGGAGATCCATCTCGAACATTAAAATTATAACGTGGTATGTAAAGATAGATCTTTTTAACATTTTAATGATGTGATATAGCATACATTGGAATTATGTGTTCGTTTGTATTTCTAGACATTTTATCCTAACCATTTAAATTATGTAAAATGAGAAAACGTGAATTGTGATAATGCTAAGCAGCAACAAATTTGTCACACATTTCACTTCGAGTCAAGAATTGGAAATTGTTTTTCTATCGGAAATAGTTTTGTTGGCGTGAATGCAACACAATATTAATACTCCATTGTCAAATATTACAAATGGTAAACTATCCTATAGCTATACAGTTTTATTTATTTTTAATATATACACTCATTGTTTGCAATTATTAGGAAATTCATGCCATCAACCGGCAGGTACTAATGTAGCTTTTGCATTGGTACACAGTCCTAAACACACAATTGCACTTCCTCAAGTACTAATGTAGCTTTTGCAAATAATGATAAACAAAGAAAATTCAGTCTAACGTGTGCCATTGAGAAAGGATTTGGAAGAGACGATGAACTACCATTAATGAATGAATCTGATTTTGGTGATGAGAGTAATGGTGATGATTTTATAGAATACAAAGAACTTGCAAGTATATCAAATGATGCTTTTAGAGGTTCGGAATTTTTTTAAAAAAAGTGGAATGATATTGTTTAATAAAAAATTCAAAAAATTCCCATCACTATTGAGTTGTATTGTTAATTAGATTGTGTGTGTCAGAGAGTATTGGGATATCGGTGATCAAATATTCAAGTGTACATATTGTGGTGCACAGTTTTGGATGGAAGAGCGAGTCCAAAGTATTATCTTTGTTGCACGGACAATAAAGTCAACATTGTATCCATGAAACAACAACCAGAACAGTTGTATGATTTCATTCACGGCACAGATCAAAAGAGCAAACATTTCCTCGAAAATATTAGGTCTTATAACAATATGTTTGTTTTTACTTCTCTGGGAGGGAGAATAGAGAATAATTTGAATACATGAAGATCTCCTCCTAATTTTAAGCTCCATTGTTAAAATTATCATATTATTGGAAGCTTAGTGCCCATGGAGGGTTCAAAGTCGTACTTTGCCAAATTGTAAAATTTATGATACTGAAATGAGATAGAAAATAGAATTCCATTCGTGAGGTATTTTGTTTATGCTTTACATTACGAGAGCATTTGGGTTATCACTATGATTTGTTAAAAATTTTAAAAGTTGTTTAATTTTTAGGAGAGACAATGATAGGAGTCAATTGGATGTTGATATTGTTTAGCGATTAAAGAACATGCTTAATGAGTGCAATGTTTTGGTTAAAAGCTTTCGGATGAGTGAACACGTTCTCATTCCAAGATTATCACTAACTTTTTCGGATGTGAAACTTCCATTCAAATTTGAGAGGAGAGAGTTTCCAATGATGGTTGCTTATGCAATGACTACTAATAAAAAATAAAGGCCAATCTCTCTCATGTCGGGTTGTTGCCGAAGAAGCCAATTTTCTCTTATGGTCAGTTTTATGTTATGGTTTCTAGAGTCACCAATAGAAAAGGAGTGAAAGTTTTGTTATTGGATGGTGACGAACAAAACACAACGCAGAATACAAATGTTGTCTACAAAAAAGTTTTTCGAATTTGTAGAACTAATGCTTATTATTCAATTTTAGTTCTTTTAATTGATGCAAGAATATGATTTTTGAGAATGTTTATTTAATTATAAGTATTTCAGCTTTTTGCCGTGCATCGCACGGGTGAGCTACTAGTTCACATATTGTAAAACCAATCTAGTCCAGATTAAATAAGATTAGACTCAACCACTCTAGATCAAACTAACAAACTTTGGAGAACCGATTCTAATTCTTTGACCCGGAGTGACTGAAGTCTCGTAATCACGTGAAATGTGAAAAGTTATCCAATTTCTATATGCGATCATTCAAGAAAATCATCACATTCTCAGAACTACATAACATGCAACAACAACACACTGGTTTCACTTCGTATGGAGTAGTGATGATTTTCCGGGGTGTTTAAAAACTACCTCACAAATCAATCATGCCCCTTATCAAACCACAAAAGAAAAACAAATAGATGATGCCGTCATGCCGAGCCCCTTCATTAGACAAGTGCAGTGTATTCGAAAGACCAAATTGTGTTCAGATAAGGATAATACTGGGTTTTATTGAGGAGAAGATCGAAGAGAGACATATAAGCAGAAGGTTGTCGTTAAGTAGTAAGGATTGGAGGAAGGTATTCAGATTTAGTGCCAAGAACACGAGCTTTGGTGTCGGGGAAGAACTCAAAACCGGGAAGCTCTGTCACGTCTCCATCACTGCTTACTCCAACCGGGTAGCGAAGCAAGTGACCAGGAAGATCTCCTTCCAGACTCTCGCTCGAGTAGAGGTCCCAGTACTTCTCGGCTATGTCATTCACCTTCCTGGCACATTCTTCGCTTTCAGGATGGAGGAAAGCTTCGTCGAGCATCCCAAGGTGCTCGTACCACAATGCCATTCTGAAACCATGAACCTGACCCCTTGCTGGCTGCCTTGCTGCCAAATGATTAGGTTGGTACGCACCCATGGCTATCTCAGAATCTCTTGCTCCATCCATTGACCTCTGGTTGATGTTGGCAGATCCAACAATTATGTACTCATCATCAACTGTAAGACCCCCAAAAAAGACCTTTATTAATCACTAAAACAAGCTTGTTTACTTAATCAGTAGACATTCTAAGATTCAGGAAACAGTCTTTCTGTGTACAAGGGTAAGGCTGCGTACATCCGACCCCCTTACCCACTGTAGGTGGGAGCCTTGCGGCACTGGGGTAATGATGAAGAAGACATTCTAAGGTTCCAAAGGCACCACAACTCCAAAAAATTGTTTAATACGAACTAATTATTTTAAAATTACTACATATATATAAGAAAAAATACAATTTACATTTGTTGCAATATGTTCTTTTAACTAATAGTATCAATTTTCCCCCCATTTTTACTCATTATATTAAAACGATTGTTTGTAATGACTTTTACGATCTCTGTTTAGTATTTTTTATGAAAAAAGGACCAGCCTGCACGTAGAGGGAATGTTAAGGGCACATTTTCACCTAAAACACCATTAAGGGCCAATTAATCACTTATTTGTTGTTTTCCCTATGTATATTTATTGGCCCACCAAAAGCAAATGATTCCTACTACAAAAACATGTAAGAGAAATCAATACTCACCTATCATCATTTTGGAATGCACATAGATCATAAATCGCCGAGCCTCCTGAGCTCTTATATAGTCAGTATCAGGGTCTGGGGTTTCTGAAGGTTCATATTCTCCACTCCTCTTCACCTCCCGATTACCAATACAGAAGAATGTCAAGTATGTCCTGGGATCCTCCTCAATGCCCTTGGCTCTCATAGCTTGAATAACATCTTTATACATCATACTCATCGTCCTCCTCTGCCAGTCCAATATGGCTTGAACAGATGCACTCTCTGGGATCCCTTCAGGCCACATTGGGACAACTACATACACCGTAAACCTTTCACCTGCTTCAATCTTACTAGCAATTTTCAAAGAAAGCTCTTTAGCAACAAGATGAGTAGCACCAATGTCCTCAACCTTGATATCATCAGCGTCCCAACCAAAGCAGCTCCCTAGAAAATACTGGTTTTCAATATAAATAAAATTCTTTGCTCGACGAATAGCATTAATATATGCATCTTGGATGCTCCTATCGATAATATTATCCTTGCCACTGACAAGACCAGCCTTTGCAGCTTCTTCAGGGGTCTCGGGGAATCCAAAAGCAGCACCACCATCAATCGACCTGAAGAGTTGAACATTCCATGTCTCCTCATCATCCGGGAAGGTCACTGGTGATGGGGGGATTATGATTTCGTCAAGCTCTCTAAGGTTTACTAGAACGTCCTTCCCACCTTGCTTCCTCCATCTCTGCTCAAAATTATATAGAACATCCCAAGCAATAGGTCCCTCAAGCCGGGAGTGAATGTCATGCCATGGTTCCCGTGGACCGCCTTTTGTGATTGAAGCACCAGTAAAATTGGGCTGATGGAAATCATCATGGTGTGCAGAATCTAATGTTCTAAATAGAGAATGAAATGGGGTATCATAGCGACCATCGCAGAGATCAATACCACCCACGAAGCTAACAATCCTTCTCTGTTGTGATCCTCCGCTGCTGGGCAGTTCATGGTCCACCGCTACAATTTTTTGGTGATGAGTGAACATTGTAGATATTTGTAAATCCTGCACAAAGCTCCCCCCATCATCAGGATTACGAGGGCATAGGACACAATGAACATCAGTATCTTTAAAGAACTGTTCAGTCTCTTCATCATGAGTGGCCATCAACCCATCTTTCTTCAGAAGGCCTACAGAGGTCCTGTCATCCCAAACAAGCATACAAACTTTGACACCCTCACTTGCCTTCTTCTTAAGCAACTCTCCAAGCATAATGTCACCACCTGGTCTCGGCCTCCTTGAGTCTCTCACTAGAGAAATTTCAGTATACACTGACCAACCGGTGATGTATATCAGGTGCTTTGCATTACTGATAGCATCGAAGATATCCTCCCAACATCTATGTGGCTCATAATACTTACCTCCTGAGAGAGGGATTTTGGGTATAAAACCGTCCGGGATATGTGCATCTTGATACAAAGACACCCGACATCCTTTTCTCTGTGAGAAAAAGGTGTAAGGAACACCAGGATGTTTAGCACTTCTAATTCCCCGTCCCCAATTACGATCCCTAATGATATCAAAATACTGCAGCTTTACATGGATCTTGGAACCTTGACTGATAGGATTCTTTTCTTTATCTAGAATCTCAACCCATTTATCAACTTCATCCCCCTCCAAGAGCTCTTCGACTGGCACATAAGCTCTCCCAATCAAGGTTGCACCGACTGGATTGTCATCTTTGACTGTGAATATAACATTTGAAGCCATGTGAGCACTGTAAATATGAAAAGACTCGTTCCATTGAGGGTTGTTGGGTTCTTCAAGCATTCTAGTTTTTCCAACCCTTGCCTTCTCTAGATCTATAGTAGCATAGATTTTAGGAGTTCCTTTTCCAATATGAACAGCCTCCTGAACATGTTCCACAATCTGCAATACCAAGTTTATGTTAGTAAGAAGACATGAAAAAACACATAGATTCTCTTGCACTACAGAATCTTCACCGCAAGAGAGAAATACATTGACAGAATCCTTCCAAATTCGTTAAAGGGTTTGGAGATATTTTGCTACATTCTCTTCAATTAATGTTTTTGCATTCATAGGAACTGTTTTTAGTGAATTTCGAGTAACTGTTTCTTGTCCTTTTTCCTTTTTCTATTAATAATGGTATCAGTATAGAATGTTGCTCACCTCCTACGCCTCAGCCACCCACACATTTCCCAAACATACTCCAAATACTGCTTTCCTACACCCTTCTCTATCTTCCCCTTCAGTATGTAGTTGCAAATCCATTGCGGATAAAATGTAATGTTTTATGATTTTTATTTCATTTAAACTTTTTTCTTTCAAAAAACATAAAACATAAAGAGGCAAGAACACAATCTAAGTGCTAGATGTGGTAGACTCAACTCATCAACCCACCTTACACCCCTGCTCTAAAAGAAAACTTGAAATTAGCCTTCCATTTTTTAAATTTATGGTTTGCTGGGTTTGATATGTAACACGCATGATTAATTCTATCAGCAAACTCTTACTAGTTACTACTCTGGTACACTTTCTGGGAAAATAGAGATCATTTTGAGAATATTCCATCACACAGGACAGATTCGAATCTTAAAACAAGAATGTTCCAACGTCCAACTTACTTCTTAAATGAAAATATAGTTCAACCAACACAATACAAAACCATGATGGAGTTCTATATTTACATACTCGAATAAATAAAAATAGATCTATGGACACACTGAATTTCCATATAGTACAACTGTACAGCTGATCAAGAGAATAACAAGCCATTCAACCGCATGTAATCAACTTGTAAAATGATACAAAACCGCGGATCCCGAAAAAAGATTAATGTGAATAGAAAAAAGCATAAGACTAAAAGCTGCATTTTTTGACAGATTGATGCCATGTACTAAAGTTCGGACAATTTTTTACTCCGTACTTCTTATAACACAAGTTGAGTCACTTGACTGAAGCAGAAAAATCATGCGATCAATCAGTCAAAACTCAAAAGATAAAGAAACTGCAAATCCAGAGCACTGATTAGGTGATTCAGGATGAAAAAGCAACAAAAACAAAACAACACAATCAAAACAGCTCGAAGTGAAATTTAGTAATCAACAAGAATACAGTGTGATCTTGATCTAAGCGCATTAGAAAAGGGAAGCGTGATCAATCTATACCTTGCTGAAGAAGTTCCGTCCGCCACCGCCCTCACCTTGAAGCTGGTCGATCTCGAAGATCGTCACATGGAGGGTCCCGTGAAGCAAAAACTGAGCCATTTCCACAGCTGCAGAACTTCAACAAGAGCAGAGCACCACAATTGGCCAAGCAAATTACAGGAATAAATCTAGCAGGTAAACCATATAGATCTGTACAGCTGACGCGTTCGACTTTAAATGAAGTGAGAGCGTTGAAAAAGAGTTTGGATGAGAGCAGCGAAGCAGTGAAGGAATTTATTTATAGTGAAGAAGATAAAATTGTACTCCGTAAATATAAAGCAAATCCGGTGGAACAGTTACAGACATCATTTTTATTTCCTTTATTTTTTGTATTTCAGTATTTTTTACTAGTAGTTTATTAAAAACATGGAATTTCCCTTTTATTACGAGTAATAAACGATATTGTAAATTAGCGCAGTCACATATATTTTCAAAAATTATAACATCTTTTAGAGTTTAATATACTGAATTGGTTGTCATAAAAAATACTGAAATTGAGAATATAACCGATTTTTAAGAGTAATGGTTTTAATGGTTGGAAAGCACAGACATCACTAATGCTAAAACGTTAACGCTGCATACGTGGCACGAGAGGTAGCCAATTAGAAAACAATAAATAAAATATCTCTCTCCTTATTTGAAGGATCTTACATCATTTTGACAAGTTTTTCTTCATAATGTCAAGCACAATGTCTAGATGTAGACATTGTGATTGACATTGTAGAGAAAAACTTACCAAAAACACATAAAATTGTGGAAAGAATGAGAGAGAAATGTCATAAAATCAAATTTTTGTGTCTATCTCTCTCATGTCACATGTGCACCATGCATATTGTAGCATTGGAGATGCTCTAACATCATGTTCATGTTGGTTAAAGCCAAAATACGACACTATATTCACCAAATATTTAAAAAAATAGATATGCATTATTTGTTTATATAAATTTCACACAATATTAATCACTTATTATACTAGTAATATTTATGCTTAAAATGTTGTGTAGGAAAAAACTTAAAAGTAGGAGAGATTGAAAAAAGTGTATACAATGTCTATGACAATATAATGTTCATACATGAATTTATCACGGGATTCAAGAAGCAAAATTGGATGAAATTGAGTTAGAAATAGTATATAAAATTAAAATTAATATAAATATGGAGATACGTAGGTCATGCACATAAGAATTGTGATATACAAATGAGACTCGCGTGTAATGGTGTGTAAGAAGACTATGAACTTCATTCCTCATTGGAGATGCTCTATGAACAATAATGGGCACAAAAACTCATAGTGTCGTTGCATATAATGATAGTAGCTGCCATAAACACTAATAACAGACGTAAATACTTTCAACCTCATTTACAATAAATATATACTCTCTCCCATTTGCCTCATATTTAAGTTCACGCTTTGAAGTCACGTTGATTTTAGGTGAAACAATATTTTGTATTAACTTTCCTCTTATATCATTACCGTAAAAAGTAAAAAGGAGAAAAAGGAAAAAAAAGGGGTAACTGATCATGAGTAAGTTGGCGGGTATAAACGTCTTTTACCATATGATCGAATATTATAATAAAATCTTGAACTTTCATGTGAGAAATCCCAAAAATATTACCAAAATAAAATTTATTTATTATAATACGACCCATAGTTACTAAAGTCGCATAATCATTTAAATGTAAAAATTGAACATAAGTTTATGACTAAGTTGCTATTATAGACACTATATTTAAGTAATCACATTTTTGTAAAAAAACATTTATTTTAGCCACATATATATGTAATTATCTCTGTCTAATAACATCATTTTATAATAATCCAAACCATTATCACTACAAAAAAACACGCCGTTTGTCACGGATTTTTGTCACGGATTCCGGCCGTGACAAATTTGTCACGGGCTTTGTCACGGATTTTTGGGATTTGTCACGAAAATTATTTGTCACGGATTTATCCGTGACAAAATTTTGTCACGGATTTGGTCCGTGACAAATTTATTCCGGCGACCGGTTTTTTACTCCGGTGAATACTTTTTTGCTTCCGGGCATTTGTCACGGACAGATCCGTGACAAATCCGTGACAAATTTCAAAAAAATCAATTATTGATTTTCCAGCGGTAACCTTTAATAATACGGTATGGGAAAAGATTTGTCACGGATAAATCCGTGACAAATCCGTGACAAATTTCAAAAAAACTCAATTATTGATTTTCCAGCGGTAACCTTTAATAATGCGGTACAGAAAAAGATTTGTCACGGATAAATCCGTGACAAATCCGTGACAAATTTTTTTATATAACCCAACTCCATCGTCCATTACAATTGCAAGAACAACAATCAGTTTAAAAATTCGTAGATTCGAGTGATGTAGTATCGGTTTAAAGATTGAATGATGTAATCCGTCAGTTCATCATTTTCCGAGTTTATGCTGATAAGGTATGTCATTTTAATTAATTTCCTTTAATTGTGTGATAAATTAATTATTAGCTTAATTAATTAATTATTATTAGTGAGGTTAGGATTCTTTTTTCTTTATATAATAATTAATTATTAGCTTAATAATTAATCAGTGAGGTTTGTTAAATAATTAATTATTAGTTAAATTTAAATATAAATATTAATTAGTTAAATTATTGTTATTATTAGTGCATAATAATTTAGGATGTGTAGTGATGATTTAAGTATTAGCAAGCTTATTATAGATTAATTAATTAGTGACTTGTAGTGATTTAATTAATTAGTTAGCTAGCTTAATTATTAGGTTATTAGTTATCACCAATTATTATTTATTAGCAATTATTGTTAATGGGATGCATAATTAATATAGCTAGCTAGGATTGAAACTTTATTATTATTTAGTTTAGTGTGAATTATTATTGTGAATTATTAATGAGATAATATTTAACAATAATATTAGTTAAATGTAAATTAATTGACTAATTAATTAAGTTAAAACATTGAGGAAATGGGTTTAGAATTTGATGAGTTGATAATATTAGTTAGATTTAAATATTAGTTAATTGATCAATGATGATAATGCATGATTAGGTTTAATTTGTTTATTAATTAGTTAATTATTGTTAATGCATAATTTAGGATTTGTAGTGATTTAAGTTAGGATTCAAACTTTATTAGTTAAGTGTGAATTATATATTATTGTGAATTAATTATATTTAACAATATTAGTTAAATGGAAATTAACTAATTAATAAGTTAAATTAGTTAATTATTGTTAATGGGATGCATAATATATATAGCTAGGGTTGAAACTTTATTTTTATTTAGTTTAGTGTGAATTATTATTGTGAATTATTTTTGGGAATTCACAATAATAATTCACAATATTAGTTAAATGGAAATTAACTAATTAATTAAGTTAAAACATTGAGGAAATGGGTTTAGAATTTGATGAGTTGATAATATTAGTTAGATTTAAATATTAGTCAATTGATCAATGATGATGATTAGGTTTAATTTGTTTATTAATTAGTTAATTATTGTTAATGATTAATTTAGGATTTGTAGTGATTTAAGTTAGGATTCAAACTTTATTAGTTAAGTGTGAATTATATATTATTGTGAATTAATGATATTTAACAATATTAGTTAAATGGAAATTAACTAATTAATAAGTTAAATTAGTTAATTATTGTTAATGGGATGCATAATATATATAGCTAGGCCGGGTTGAAACTTTAATTTTATTTAGTTTAGTGTGAATTATTATTGTGAATTATTATTGTGAATTATTATTGTGAATTATTAATGAGATAATATTTAACAATAATATTAGTTAAATGTAAATTAATTAACTAATTAATTAAGTTAAAACATTGAGGAATTTGAGTTGATAATATTAGTTAGATTTAAATATTAGTTAATTAATTGATCAATGATGATGATTAGGTTTAATTTGTTTATTAGTTAATTATTGTTAATGCATAATTTAGGATTTGTAGTGATTTCAGTTAGGATTCAAACTTTAGTAGTTAATAATTAAAACGATTAATGCCATTAACATATTACTATTAGTTAAATATTAGTAAATCAACGCTTTTAGTTAATGTCACAAATTAAAGTTGGTTAATTCAAATTATTAATGCCACAAATTAAATAATGTACTGCTTTTAGTTAATTAATAATATTAATGTACTTATATATTATTTTGATTATAATATATATACAGGCATAATGTATAGACAAAACAGAAGTTGGATGTACCAAAAACATCGTGATAACTATGGAATACGCAGTGAATTTTTGAATGGTGTTGAAGATTTTATTAAATTTGCACAAGAACAGAAGAATTATATGGATGGAGATAAAATCAGATGTCCATGTACAAAGTGTAAAAATCTTCAATTTAAAGATGTCGACCAAGTTGTGTGGGATTTGTACGAAAAAGGTTTCGTTGCCAATTATTATAATTGGACTTCTCATGGTGAACCTTTCGATCCATCACTTTTACCGCAAACAGTGGGTTCATCTCGTAACGTCCCTACCGAGATGAGTGGATGGGGAGACTATGATCAAATGACGTGGGATCAAAGAATGGCATATGATGTATACGGTGCTTCAACGATGCAGTTTAACCCACCACAGCCATTTAACGATCTTCCCGAAGCTTCGACCTCGTATCAACCCGATGCGGATGAAGATCAGACCTTTTATCAGTCTGCTGTGGATGAGTATCCGAATTCTCATGTTCCTCATATTGAAGACTTAGCTGAAAGATTTCAAGATGTTTTAAAAGCTGCTGATCAGCCTCTGTATGCTGATTGTGAGGGATACTCTCAGCTATCCGCCGTTACAGAGTTGATGAACATTAAATCTGAATACAATCTTCCTGAATCTTGCATGTCTAGGTTATTGCAGTCATTTGGAGGAATGTTACCGCGTGACCATAATCTTCCTGATTCATATTACAAAATGAAACAATTAATGTCTCAGTTGGGGCTTCCTTGTATAGAAATTGATGCGTGCCCAGAAGGATGTATGTTGTTCTGGAAGGATGATGTGGCACTTGAGACCTGCAAGTTCTGTGGTGGAGAGAGATACAAGCCTGTTCCTCATAGACGAAAAAAACCACGAAAAAGGTCTGCATTGTCTAAATTGTTTTACCTCCCTCTAGCTCCACGCCTGCAGAGGATGTATGCTTCAAATGCTACTGCGAAACACATGACGTGGCATGTTGAGCACGAAACCAAAGAGGGTTTGATGTCTCACCCTTCCGACTGTGAAGCTTGGAGACACTTTGACCGTTGTCATC